CCCTCCCATCCCGGCCCTGGCCCCTGCCCCTGCCCCTGCCCCTGCCCCAGCCACAGGCTCAGGCCCTCTGCTCTTCCCGGGGAACAGAGACTGGCAGCTCCCTGGACCTCGAACAGCCTGAGCGTGGTGGCTGTCAGCTTGAGTGGGTTGAACTACACTCTTAGAAGGAGGGAGGGTGGTGAGCTCAGACCCTCCCTGGAGTCCCGGGAACCACGGGGTCCCAGCGAGGCGCGAGGCGGGGGCCGCACCACTCCATGATGATGAGCAGACAGCGCTTGTTGCGGTGCATGTTCTCGTACACGTCGAGGATGCGCACGATGTGGGGGCCGCCCGACGCCTGCCAGTGCTGCTCCACCTCCTGCCGGGCCTTGGGGCTGTCGTACAGGACCTGGAGGCAGCACAGACAGCGTCAGGCTCGCGGCACCCGGGACAGAGCCGCTGCCCCCCGCACCCCGCAGAGAGGGACCTGCCCCCGCGTGCCCAGCTTATGGAGGACACGGCGAGGGTGTGAATCCAGGTTTCCCTGGTGCGGGCTCCAGGGGGTGAGGTCAGCCCCGAGCAGCTTGGCTGGGGCCCAGGAAGGCCCTGGGAGGGGCAGCCCCGCCTCCCTTCTCGGGGCGGCAAGTGAGGTGGAAATGGAACGGGTTTCACGTCCAATGGCACATGGGCTGTGGGGCCCCGGCCAGGGCCACGCATGGGATGGGACAGGGTTGTGGGCCCAGAGAGTCTGGGGGCAGAGAGGACCCCAGCTGAGGGAGGTGACGGCCTGGTGGGGTGCAGTCCGGGTTTGGGGCTAAATTTCTCCCATGACTCAGTGTGGCCTCAGGCAAACTTTCCCAGCCGCAGCCCACAGCTCTGCAAAACGGAGCGACGGCAGAGTCATCCCCACAGGATGCAGCACCCAAGGCAGGAAGCGGTGGGCGGCGCAGGGATCCTCACTCAGGCTCGCTCAGCCCTGGGCGATGGCTGCCACCAGAAGGCCAGTCGCAGGAAATGAGCCCGGACTGGAGTGGGGAGAATCGGCTGCCGGGCGATGTGGCCGGGATGGGGAGAGCAGCAACGGGCCCTCCCCCACCCCCTCAAGGCTGGGTTTCCAGCTCCACGGGGCTGAGGACCCGGGTGGGAGCCCAAGGCTGGGGTTCAGGTCAGCCCGCCTCGCTCGGCACCCATAGGGCCTGGGCCACCCCGGCTGTGGTCTCCTCCTCTGCTGCACACGGTGCCGGGCAGGCTCTGGGCCTGAGCGCTCTCGGCTTGGGTGGAAGGAAGGCGGTGGGTGCGGCATTTGCTGCCCCTTGGCTGCCCCTTCATTTCTGGAGCAGCTCACCTCACCTCTAGCCTGGGGGTGCAGGGAGCTCCAGCTCTGGCGGCCCTGCTCCACTGCCCAGCCTGGGAGCCAGGGGCCTCTTGCTCCTGCTGCCCTGAGCTCACAGAGCCCCTCCCTGCTGTGCCCACACAGCCCCACCGACCAGCCTCTTGCTCACGGTGCTGGGGGCAGAGGCTCGGCCGTCCCACTCCCCACATCAGCCCGACTGTGTCCTGAGGTGGCTCTAGCGAAGGGCACGCCAGTCCTTGGCCAGAGGACCCGAGACACACCATCCTCCCTCCCTGCTCTCTCTCTGCACCCCTTTCCTCCTTGGCCTCCTGCCTGACCTGACCCTGTCCTGCTGGGACCCCAGGCTGGCTCCTGGACCCCTCCTCGTTCTGCCTCACTCTGGCATCTCTACCTCCGCCAAAGCCCCCTCTCTTCTCTAAAAACTCCCAAGCCCACAGCTGGAACACTCTGTGCTGTCCTCAACCCCACCTGTCCCCACCTGGCCCTTCACTTCTCCCCCCTTTAAGTCCACCCCCAACCCTGCCCCCTTGGTCCTCCCTTGGCGCCCAGGGCTCGCCTTCCTCTCCCACCTCACTCCTCTGCCTCTGGCCCCAGGCCAGGGCCACACACGGGATGGCACAGGGTTGTGGACCTGGAAATAGAGTCTGGGGGCAGAGAGGACCCCAGCTGCGGGAGGTGGGGTTCTAGCCAGAGGATGCACTTGCTGGTCCCACACAGGCCGCACTCTCGCCCTCTCCTTCTCCGTTGGTCAACTCCCTCCTGGGCTCAGCTCAGGCACCTCCTCCTCTGGAAGTCCTCCCAGCACCTGCCCCGTGGTCTGTGCCTCGGTCCCTCCCACCAGGCGAAGCAGCTTGAGGGCAGAGGCAGGTCTGTAAAGCTGGGGATCCCAGGCAGGAGCCTGGCCCCAAACACTGGGCTCCCGAACGAGGGGGCGGGGATGCGGGAGGGGCTGTGGCGGGAGGGGCCTGAGGTCTCGGAGGGGAGAGGAGGTGGGCAGAGAGCTTCACAGCCGGCCTGCACCCTGTGCTCCCCAACGGAGGAAGGCGGAGCTGCCCTGAGCCACAGCTTCCCGATGCCTCCCGCCCCACTCAGTGCATATTTAGGGACTCATTTCCCGCACAAGTTAAAATAGTGCTTCTCTGAGTGCCAAGGCCCCGAGAACAGGCCCAGGAGCAGGGAGACGCTGACCCTAGAAAACGCAGGTGCCACCACCGGCCTCTCTGCAAGGCCCACCCGGGCCCAGCTGCCCAGAAATCTCCCGGCTGCCACTCTTCACCCCTCCACGGAGTGTGGTCCCAAACATCTTAGAGCCTCAGCTTCCTCCTTCCCTTCCCCACAGCCAGAGACTTCCTCTCTTCTAGGCATCCTTCCAGTGTCACCTCCTCTCGGAAGCCCTCCCTGACTACGCTGTCTAAAGAGGGTCTCAAGGGTCCCTCGTTTCCTCTCCACCCTTCCTTTGTCTTCCTTGATGTACATTGTTTACTGAGGTATACTTTACGTACAGCAAAATGCACCAATTCCAAGAGCCCAGTTCTAGGAGGTTTTCTGTTGTTCTTTTTATTACCAGTTCAATGAATTCTGACAACTGCACACAGCCCTGGAACCCACACCCCCATCTGACAGAAAGCATTTCCAGCTCTCGGGAAAGCTCCCCCTCATCCCCTTTTACCTCCCTCCTGGGTAGCACTGGCTCACAACCTACAATTAGCTGTCCCTTTTGATAACCCTAATCGTGCAAGCGCGCGCACACACACACACACACACACACACATTGCACTTTCAACGTGCCTGGCTCTGTTCGGAGCCCTTCATAAATATTAGAGAGAAGGGACTTCATTCTCACCATCTTCAGCTGAGACATGGAGGCCCAGAGAGGAGAAGCAGCCGGTCGCAGCTCATGCAGCTGTTTCCCCGCCAGGCAGCCACCATGCTGCCTTCCTCATCAGACGGTGGGCCCAGAGGGGCAGGGCCAATCCGCCGGCTCACCTCTGGGTCCCTGGCTCAGAGAACGTTACCAACTTAATGACCAGATCTAAAGCGGAGGGCGGCAGCAAGAGCCTTCACAGCGCGTCGGAGGACGGAGGGAGGGGGCGATGGGGACCCAGGAAGGCTCAGCACGTGACAGGAGAGGTGGCCGCGCTGTCCCCACTGCTCCTCACCCTCCTCGCGGGTGAGCCAGGCCTCGCCCCTCTCCTCGGGGCCCATCTGACGCCTGCGGCCCACAGGCCATCGCTGCAACCCGGCTTCATCCACGCTCCCCTCGGGAAAGCCGTCCCCGGCAAAGCCCAGCTCTGAGGCCTGAGCACGGGGCTAGGACGGAGGCCCCGGTTCCGCTCCTGTGCGTGCGACCTGGGGCCAGGCCTCTGCTTCTCTGGCCTCTGGCTCCCTAATGCGAAACTGCAGGCCTTGGGCTAGATTAGGGGAGGGGAATGAAAAGGGAGACCTCAGCCCCGGCCGGTTTGCCCAGTGGGTAGAGCGTCGGCCTGCGGACTGAAGGGTCCTGGGTTCAATTCCAGACAAGGGGATGTACCTTGGTTGTGGGCTCGATTCCCAGTAGGGGGCGTGCAGGAGGCAGCCTATCAGTGTGTCTCTCCCATTGATGTTTCTAACTCTCCATCCCACTCCTTTCCTCTCTGTAAAAAATCAATAAAATATATATTTTTTAAAAAGCGGGGGAGGCCTCTGATCAGGGGTCCCTCGCAGAGGACCTACTGTAGCCCTACTCCCATATCCCTGGCCCCGTGGAGTAGCCCCTGGGTCTCCATGGACCCCAAATCCAAGTGTTTGAACCCAAAGGGGCCCACCTGGCATGTTGGTCCACAGACACAGCTTGGAAGAAAAGATGGGGTGGCCTTCTGGGAACCCAACAGCAATTCCCTTCTTTCCCTCCTGCCCTCCACCCCCTGGGCTCTCCAGGGGTCCCCCAAAGCTGGAGGGTCTGCGATGGTTCCCAAGTAGCTGCCCAGCCCCAGCTGGCACCCAACAGGAATCCCCACACGTGGGAGATGCGATCCCGGCTTCCTCCCGGGGAGGGCGCTCCCGGCTGTGCACGAGGTGTGGCCCAGGGATGTGCCATGAGCATGGAATGTGAGATGACATTCCCTTTTTTGTTGTTGTTATATATTTTTATTGATTTCAGAGAGGAAGGGTGAGGGAGAGAGAGATAGAAACATCAGTGATGAGAGAGAATCATGGATCAGCTCCCTCCTGCACGCCCCCTACTGGGGGTTCAGCCTGCAATCCGGGCATGTGCCCTGACCGGGAATCAAACCGTGACCTCCTGGTTCATAGGTCAGTACTCAACCACTGAGCCACGCCAGCCAGGCGACATTTCCTTTTTTATTTTTAGAGAGAATGAAAGGGAGGGAGGAGAGGGAGAGTGAAGCATCAACCTGAGAGAGAGACACATTGACTGGTTGCCTCCCACACATGCCCCGACCCGGGCCAGGGATGGAACCTGCAACCCAGGTACATGCCCTTGACTGGGAATCGAACCCGAGACCCTTTGGTCCGAGGGCTGGCACTCTAACCACTGAGCAAACTGGCCAGGGCGAGAGGGCCTTTCCTTGCACGAAGGACACTGCTCTAGCCTCAGGCTTTGGGCAGTGGTTTCGCCTCCCTTCTCCCCTCACTCTCTTTTGCCGAATTCTCTTAGCCGCCCCCAGAGCTGGATGGCCGAGTCCCCTACCACCCCCACCGGACCCGGCCCGCCCTGCAAAGGAGGAGGGCGGAGGAGCCCACGCCTGCAGCATCGCCTCAGAACGGGCCTCACCTCCACACACTCCCCACCCCAGGACGGAGGCCCTGTGGGCGGAGGAATCTTCCGCGCAGGAGCTGGGCAAGCAGCAGCATCATCTGCCGCTGGAAACGCGGTTCACCATTGACAAACACGCCCGTGTCTCACGGGAACGCTGGTGCCACCCTGTGAGGCAAGCAGGGCGGACCCGCCCAGTTGACAGACTGAGGCAAGAGGCTCAGGAGGGTGAGTCATGAGCTGGCTGCGGGACGGCGGGGCCAGACGGACCCACGCAGCCCCTCCCTGAGAGGCCATGTCA